CGGCGAGGGTGGCGACGGTCACGACGAAGGTGGCTTGACGAAATGGATGACGCCATCGCGCAACATGACATCCTCGATGTCGTCGTCCTCGAGCTCCTTCATCAGGAAGCGCAACATTGCCGTCGCCAGCTCCTTTGCGGCGCTGCGCGGGTGCGTGCCCATCCGCCTCTGTAATGGTTACATGTTTTTGGCGATGCGCCGTTTGGGGTCACTCACACCCGCCTCTTACACCCTCACTGTCGTGCGAAATCGTCGGTTGTGAAATTCTTCTCTTCCACGACGAAATTCTTTCCGACTTTGTGGTTTCCAAAGTTGGCGAACCTGATTGCTAATATGGCTTTAGCCTCGGCTGTTGGGCTTCTATTCGCAGTGCACAACAACTCACCTCAGTGCGCCTCGTTTCCGCGGCTCGCGGCTCCGAAGGCTATACCTGGCAAGGTTGAGACCGCCATCCGGACCTATCAGAACGCTTACGAGAGCCGCCACCTGCACCAGCTGCAGCGTTTCTTGGGGGTGCGCCTTGGGCAGAATCCCAATGATCAGCAGGTGATTTCTGAGATACTGTACGACGTGAAGCCAGATCTCATCGTGGAGACTGGCACGAATTCAGGCGGTAGTGCAATATGGTTGGTGTCTTTGATGTCGTTCATCAATCCGTCGTGCAAGGTGATTACGGCTGATCCTCGAACACCAGATGATTGGGCTGCACACTGGAATGCGAGTGGATTGAGAGCGGCTGAGTTGCCAAGCGCAAAGCCTCAATGGAAGCGCGTTGAGTACTACAAGGGGTTCTCCACAGATCGCGCTTTCATTGAGCGAGTAGCCTTGCTGTCCGCAGACGCCGAGAGGGTGCTGGTGCTTCTGGACAGCGACCACAGCCTCGGGACCGTGAAGGCAGAGCTTGAGGCCTTGCACCGGTTTGTGACCCCGGGCAGCTACATCATCGTAGAGGACACGTACTCCACGATCAAACCGGGCGTAGCCGCCAAGGCCTTTGTGGCTTCGTCAGCGACGCTGGTCGTGAGTACCTCATGTTCTCGCAGCACCGGGGTGGCTACTTGAGGCGGCTCTGCTAATGGCTATACACAAGCATCCCATGCATTCTGTTGCGGCCGTCTCTGATTCGGAAAATATGCGGGGTGTCACCCACACTCGTGCAGAGGTTCTGCGTTAGAGACGACTCTCTCTCTCCCAACTGTGAACAGTCGTTATCTGTATATGCGCAGCTATTCATAGCCGCGCCTGTGTTTTGTGTGTGTATCCGCGCTCTTGGCGCGATTACGAGACTGACTAGTGTGTCGCACTAGTTGTACTTTTCGTAATAGTATTCCGCATTCATTGCGAGGGCGGACCACTCCTAGCGTGCAGACCGCGGGAGCTGGTGCCGCGGCCAGTGTAGACCTGGCCTGCGCTGTGACGCGCGCGCTCATCTTCAACGTGGAGCCGACTGAGGGGTAACTACGTAGCATGTCTAGCAACAACCGTGACAAAGACATGCCGTCCGTCATCCAATGGGATGGGACATCTGGCGATCCTTTCAAGGAGTGGAAAAGGGCAATTCTCGACACTGGTGCGGAGCGGACTGACGAATCCGGCTCCAGCGTCGCGGATGTCTTCACTGGTGCGGACATGGGAGGAACCGCCGTCGGCGCTCCACCTCTGCCGGCTGGCGCTGCACAGCATTCGCAGAAGATGCAAGCCCTGTACCGCACCCGCCGCAAGCAGGCCTACGCCCTCCTGGTCAAGAACATTTCGTGCAAGGACATCAAGTTCCACCTTCGCACAAGAGAGAGAGGAGAGAGATCTCGACGCCGTTCACAGCTCGCCGCTCTGCAAGCACCATAACGTATTTTTTATTAGTTCGTGTGATAGCTCGTACGAGGAGAGAACGGGCATTGTGCAAGTGCATTGCCGTTCTTAACGGAGTCGCTTAGGCGGCTCCGGTGGAAGGCATGCCACGAGGGTCGAGGCGGGACGAGACTAGACGTCTCGGACGAGACCCGGCACTCGATGAAAACCTAAATCGTGAATATCGGGTTGCTGCGCGGCGGGTTTGTTGAGTCGCGCCCCTACTGTGTGAATTCGCGGAGGGAAGAAAATTTTATACGGAATACGTCCATTTCGGGGCCTCGTTTGGAATACGTATTCCGGAATACGGGTGGAATACGGCCTAAAACTGCAATTTTATACGGAATACGGCCCTTTTGGAGGTCATTTGGAATACGTGGAATACGTATTCACACAGTAGGGTCGCGGCGGGGCCCTGAGAGTGGAGGGTGTCAGGATCGGCCGGCTGGTCGGCTGTGAACCAGCGCACAGCGCCATAGGACGTATTTTCTTCTCATAACAAGGCGTTTGTGCCCCGTTTGTGCCGCGTCCCGTGCCCCCGAGTTCATTTTAATACAGCGAGACTGCTTTCAGACGCTTACGCCAATTTCCCCTCAACCTGCGCAAATCGTGACCCCCAGAACTCGCGGACCCGAGGAGTCTGGAGCTTCAGCTGGCGAATCATGCCGCTCTCGGCACAGAAGCAGCGCGAGCGCCGCGCCGCGCAGCGCGCTGCCGAGGCTCAGGACGCGGCTCGCGGGCAGCGCAACCGCCCGGCGCCGAGCCGGTGCTAGGCCGCCTCCGCTGCGCCTGCTTCCTTGCGCGCCGCTGGACGTCGGCCGAGAAGACCGCTTCCCTCTGGGGACCCGACTCCGCGGAGATCGCGCGCGCGTCGTGAGTGGCGGCGCGCGCGCGATCTCCGTTCCCGGGCACGCCGGTCGCAGTGGCATGGGCTCCCAGGCTCAAAAGCGCTCCCGTCAACAGCGAGCGAGCGCCGCCGCTGCTCCTCCTCCCGCCGCCGCTGCTCCTCCTCCCGCCGCCGCTCACCGAGACCCGCCGCCGCCGCCGCCGCCGCCGCCGCCGCCGCCGCCGCCTCGCGCCTCGCCTCCGTCACCGCCGCCCTCCATCTCGCAGCGGCGCGTCCCTCTGATGGCGCGGGCGCCTCGCTCACCGGCGCCTCGCCGCCGCCCCCCCCCCTTCTCGCGCCGCTCCGCTCGTGGCCGCCGCCTCCCCTGTCAATCCCTGCCTCGTCCTGCGACGCCGCCACCTGCCGGTCCCTTGTTCTCGCGGCTTCTTTCGCCTGTCGGCGCAACTCCGTCCTCCTCGCGGCGTATCCTGGCCCCTCGAGTCTATCGAGCTCCCCTCGCGCAAGGACCACATTTCTGACTCCCACTCCGATCATTCGAGCGAGTGATCTGGTAAAACGCGGTTTAAATTCTTCCTGTGTGTGTGCCAGTCGGCGCCAGTCTGCGCCCTTGTCGTGCCAGTGTGCTAAATAAATAAATAAATAAAACGGGCACGCCAAACGAGGGGTGGGAGAGGGACAGGGTCCCCACCTGCACGAGCAGGATCTTGGAAGGACGATCAGGGACACAGGGGAACGGGAGCGGGGAGCGCATCGCGACACGGAGGGGGGCTGGGCAGGGTTCACCCACACGACAGGGTCCCAGGGATTCCTCTCTCGTATAGGACAGGTTGCACCCGGCGGCACGGGGGCAGGCGCGGGCCTCCTACTGGTTGCGCTCTCCTAGTTCTCCTGCTCCTGACAAGGGACAGCGACAGGCTCGCAGCACGGTGGACTCCCTATTCCACTGGCGATCTCTCTCGACTAGCGACCTTCCTCCGGCTTCTCACCAGCAGTCTCTCACTACCACGGGCACACTGACAGAGGCGGCCAAAAGGCTCACGTGGGTGGCAGGGCGGTGATAGGAGTCTCCCACTCTGTGGGCTTCGCTAGAGGTGCGGCCCCTGCGCGTGTCCTCGCCCTTGCGTGTGTGTGTGTGTGTGTGTGTGTGTGTGTGTGTGTGTGTGTGTGTGTGTGTGTGTGTGTGTGTGTGTGTGTGTGTGTGTGTGTGTGTGTGTGTGTGTGTGTGTGTGTGTGTGTCTGCGGGCGCTGTGCGAGCCGCCCTGAACGACCACAATGTTGAGCGCGCTCGAGCACCGAAGCACCGCGAGCGCCGGAGAGCACCACCGCCCCGCGCCTTGGCGTGGGTCGGTAGTACACGATGCGGCGCCCAGCAGCTCTATCATGCGTCGCACCCGCAGTGGGCGAGCCGACCGCCGCTCGAACTGGCGCCGAGTGGCTCCCAGATCGAGCGTGGCAGGCTCAGTCACACCGTCGCGGGGCGAACGCGAACCGAGCCGTCGCCGTTCGCCGCAGCCGCCGGCCGCCAGCCGTCAGCCGTACAGCCGTACAGCCGTCAGCCGTCAGCTCGCAGTCGCCGTCGCTGCCGCCGCCGCAGCAGCAGAGAGCGAGCTCCTGCGTCGTGTTGCCGACACAGTGTGGACGCGCGCCGCCCAGCGGCGAGCGAGCGTGCTCGGAGTTGGGTCGGCGCGCGCGCGGGCGGACGGCGCCTGTAAACAGACAGCCTGCACCGCCCACTCGTTCAAAAA